TTTTTTTTTTTTTTTAAATCTACTCAGTTACAGTGGATCTATTTGTTAGTATTTCATTTAGAACTTTCACATCTATTCACATTAGAGAAATTAGCCATAGACTTCCTTATTTGTAATTTACTATCATTATGAGATTTTGGTAATAGGGAACTGGAAAAGCTTATCTTTTTCTATGTTCTGGGTCAGTTTAATAGCAGAGTAGTTACCTAATTTTTTAAAAGTCTGAATCAACTTACCTAAAAAAAGCCACAAAGAATTAAGAGGTCTTAATTTTTCATTTTGTTTTATGATCGTTAGTCCTTTCTGGCTTTTTATTTCTTTTTTCAGTAAAGTTTGGTATATTTTTTTAAATCACCTATTTCATCATTGTTTCCAAAATCATCAGTATAGTTGTAATAGTTGTTATTATATCTGTTTTCATATTTTGTTGGTATTTCTAATTTTAGTTCTATTTCTTGACTTTATAATTTTTTCTCTACTTTCTAATTCATTTCTGGCTTTATCTGTAGTATGTGCTAAATTCAATAATATATTTTACTTTACCCAGTACATCCAAAATTTCAACATATAATCAGTATTTTAAAAATGAGATATTTTACATTCTTTTTTATATACTGTCTTCAAAAATACTGTCTATTTTACACTTTACAGTACATCTCAGTTTGTGTATCCGCATCTTGAGCCACATGTGGCTAGTGGCTATCGTATTAGGTGCATAGGTTTAGATTATATATTTGCTTCCTTTTTTTACTAGCCAGAATAGCTAAGACTATAAATTTACCTTATAGTATAGTTTTGACCACATCCTACATTTTTTTGGTTATTCTTTTTATTAAATTTATTGGGGTGACACTGGTATCTCACAAGTTTTTATAGCTCTGTATTTCCTAAGTAATCTATTATCATATATTTGAATACATCTTTATTCCATCTTTCTTTAGGAGAATATCTTTTAAACATCCAAGTAATTGCCATTTTTTTAATTGTTCTTAGTTCTTGGTCCAGGTTTGTAACCCTGTAGAATTTCTGTGTTTTCAAATTTATAGTGGAATCACAACTTACAATAAGGTTAATTTCAATGTAGTCTTATTAATAACATTATTCAAATCATCCAAGTAATTAAATTTTGTTAATTTAATCAGTTATAGAATGTTACCAGTCTTATTTCCTGATAAGTGTTTAGGTTTTTTTTGTTATTATTAATCCTCACCCAAGGATATTTTTTCCATTGGTTTTTAGAGAGGGAGGGGAAGGGAGGGAGAGAGAGAGAAAGAAAAACAGATGTTAGAGAGACACATCAATTGGTTGCTTCCCGCATGAGCCCCAACCGGGACCAGGGATCGAACCTGCAACCCGGGCACATTCCCTTGATGAAGAATCAAACCTGTGACCNATCCCAACCAGGCCTGGGGAAAGAACCTGCAACCCAGGTACATGCCCTTGACTGGGAATTGAACCCAAGACCCTTCAGTGCGCGGGCTGATGCTCTACCACTGAGCCACACTGGCCAGGGCAAAGTGTACTTTTAGTCTATACTATACCGTGTGTGATATTTTATGTTATCTGTTATGGGTTGTATTTTATCAATATAAACAACCTTCTTATTTTATTTAATTATTGTAATCTTGAAAACTATTTGATTTTACTAGTGCTTTAATTTCATTTTCATATGCCCACAATTATTTTTACTCATCCATTTATTTTATCTGTCCATTTTCATTTCTGCTCATTCTTACTAGTGTTTACTTTAATATTTTTAGAGGCATACTTTAACTTCTATTTCTCTGATTATCAAACTTAAGAAAGAAGCAATAGCCCAGCCAGGCGTGGCTCAGCAGTTGAGCATCAACCTATGATCCAGAAGATTTTGGTTCGATTCCCGATCAGGGCACATGCCCGGGTTGTGGGCTTGATCCCCAGTCAGGGGCGTATAGGAGGCAACCGATTAATGAGGACTCTCTCATCACTGATGTTTCTATCTCTCTCTCCCCTCCCTCTCCCTTCTTCTCTCTGAAATCAATAAATATATATTTTATAAAATAAAAAAAAAGAAGCAATAATTTGTGAAGCCCTATGGTCTAAATTATGAGATATATGGTTTATGATCTTCTGCCCCCTTCTACCAGTAATTATCAGTCTTTGGTAATTTAGATTACTAAGTCACTACTATTATGAAATTCTTATTCAAATTATGTTTAAAAATTAAATATCCTCTCTTTCAAGGATTGTTTGTGGCTTTTGATTCAATCTTATAACCACAATTCTAATTACTTATTTTGACTTAACTTCATAAGCCTACCTGCTTTCAGTTTTCACTCCTGGTCCTTCTATTCCATGATTTCCTCGAAGTCGAGTCACAGATTTTACTGGCTGGAGCATGCATTCAAGGTTTCTAAATTTTTTTTAATCCTTACCCAAGAATATGTTTTTATTGATTTTTAGAGAGGAAGGAGAAGAGGGGTCAGGGAGAGAGAACATCAGTGTGAGAGAGAAACATTCATCAGTTGCCTCCTGTATGAACCCACAACCCTTTTGAGGGGTGTACAGGACAGTGCTCCAACCAACTGAGCCACCTGGCCAGGGCTCAAGAGGTTTCTATATTTTTTAATTATTTTTAATTGTGGTTAAAAGAAAAAACACATAACATAAAATATACCATATATCAAGCATTTATAAGTGTACAGTTCATTCATATTAAGTATAAGTCATTGTTATGCAACCCATCTCCAAAACTTTTCATCTTGCCAAAAACTGAAACTTTAACCCATTAAACAACCCTCGATTGCCCCCTCGCCCCCACCTCTGGTAACCGCCACTCTACTTTCTGTTTCTATGATTTTAACTACTCTAGATACCTATTGGAATATACAGTGTTTGCCCTTTTATGACTGGCCTATTCACTGAGCATAACGTCCTTGTGATTCACCCGTGTTGCAGCATGTGTCAGAATTTCCTTCCTTTTTAAGGTTGAATAATATTCCATTGTATGCATCATTTTTTATCATTCATCCATAGACACTTGGGTTGTTTCAGCCTCTTGGCCTTTGTCAATAGTGCTGCTGTGAATGTGGGTATGCAAATATCTCTTCAGGATCCTGCTTTCGCTTCTTTTGGATATATATCCAAAGTGGAATTGTTGGATCATAGTGTGATTAGATTTTTAATTTTTGAGGGATTACCATACTGTTTTCCATGGCAGCTGTACCATTTAGATGGTTTTTGTTTTGTGTTTTTTTAAGATGAGCATGTGGGTGGGATTTTTAAAACATTTGCTTATGTAAGATTCTTTCTCTTGCTTTCACTCATTGCGAGGTGTGTTCTTTTATCCTCAAGCATATGAAGATGTTGCCTCAATGTTTCTGAATTTTAACATCAAATACAGAAGTAAAAGGCCAACAATATTGTTCCTTTGTAAGAAATCTAGGGGTGTTTTTTTCCTTCACAGCTACTTATAGAATTGTTTCTTCTCTTTGAAATTAAAATGAAAATTACCTTGCTAAATATATGTGAGCTCCCAACGTCCCTCTACCTGGAACCCCCAGTGGCAATGACTCTAATTTTTTCACTATCCCCTAGCCCCTTGCAGGCAGGGGCTGTAGCTGTGTCACTGCCCCAGTGCTGGGCCTCGGTGGACCATTGCCCATGCACCGGGCATGTTCTGATTGCCCTCCCTTACAGGGAGGGCGTGACTGGGGGTTGGCTAAGGGAGAGCATTTAGGCGCAGGGAGTTGAATGGGGGATGACACTGGGAAAGGTGTCATCCCCCACTTCATCTCCCTGCACCTCAGTATTGGGGTCAGTGAGGCAAGGCTGAGGGGCCCCCAGTCTGGAGACACTGAAGAACAGGTGCCCTGGCCAAAGGCCACGCGGCCCTGCTGCCCACAGTGAGTCCCCAGCATTGATGCTCCAGCTATGGGTTACCCATTCCCCCCCACTAACGTGAAATCACGGGGTTTACCAGCTACCCCCAGACCAGCCCTTAGACAGAGGCACCGCAGCAAGGCAGGTGGTGCCCGGGCCCCTCGGCAGCCCTGGTGAGGCTGACGCGGTCTCTCGTTCCTCCGCAGAAGGACTTCACGGTGCGGGAGGAGCTGCAGCAGCAGGACGTGGAGCGCTGGCTGGGCTTCATCACCTTCCTGTGCGAGGTGTTCGGCACCATGCGCAGCAGCACCGGCGAGCCCTTCCGCGTGCTCGTGTGTCCCATTTACACCTGCCTCAGGGAGGTAAGTCACAGCCGGGCGGGGGCGCCGCTGCAGTGTCTGCCTGCAGGCCTGCGAGGCACCGGGAAAGCTGCGAGGTGTGCCAGTGATGAAGTGATTATCCTTCATAGAGAAGCGTCGCCTTCCCCCTTGGGTTTACTAAAGCCAGGTTTTTATTTATTGAGTTTACATAAAGGGACATAGCCCCCC